AGAGAAAAGGGGCGTCTTTAGTGTGATTTTACCGCGTTAAACAAATTATACGGGCCTCATTATCTCGAAAAATCTCTTCAGAACTCACGCAACTTTTCTCGCACCGTATTAACGCCATCCATTCTACGGTCGAACAATCCAGCGTGCTGCTGGTCCTCTCTCGGATGTTCTCCGCTTCTCTTCACCGGATCGTAACGAGCCGCAGTTCTCTATATCCCGAAGCGGCGAAGTGGGACCTAATGAAGACATCTCGGTAACTCGGCAGAAAGAGGGAAGGCCTCTATCCCAAGGTTCCAAATCACCCGCACAATGGCCGACTTCGCATCCTTTGTCGAGACAGGGCCGCGACCAGGTCGATTCTACCTACATATATATACATATATATACATATATATATATATATATATATCGGAGAGAGCATCGGTGTCAGCATTGTGCCGCTTCCTGAAAAGAGGGATAGAGAGCGAACCCGCCCGTGATCTATGGACCAAAATCTCGTGCCATATCTTAGGAGAGAGAACCGAGAGAGGCGCTCACCTTTTCCTCTTCTCACCCCAACTATATCTGTCCCGCATCAATGCCGCTCGTCCGCGTAACCAATCGCGTGAAAAGGATTTCACAGAAAATTCGAACACGAAGGACGTTGTCGGTTTACGGCCATTCGGCTCCTTACCCATGGATGAATGATACGAAAAATTCTCTCTCGTCTCTCTTTACTAAAGAGCATCCGTACAATACTTACCAGCTACACCCCTGCGAATATCCCGGGGATGTGTGATGATGTACGACTTTGTTCGTTTGTTTATTAGACCATGCAGTTTTAAAGTCTCAAGTTAAATAAAAAATCTCGAATTTTTTTTATTCATTATCTTTTAGAAGTTCCTTGACGAGCTCTGAGAAAGTTTTTTATCATTTATTCATAAATGTATATTTAAACAGCATTATGTTATTATAAATTATATTTGCTTCGCGTATACAGAAATTATGCAATATTTAATGAATTACATAGAAATATTGAAACATATGTTGACACTAAATTTTATAAGATTCTGACAAACTCGATGCAGTATTTTAACGATTGAATGAATAGTGTGAGACGGTAGATCAAGAGGATCGTTATAAATAGTTGATGAGCAATCACGCCTGGTTTACAACCTGTATATGACTATCAAGGGGGAACAGTACAATGAAGTAGTTGACCATTTTAAAGATTCGTTTGCGTCGATGTAATTTTACTGGGAGAATCGTATAATAATTCCAGATACCTATATATGTATATATATATATGTCCGGTCGTAAAGAAACGTGATAGGTGGTAACTGGCGACTGGTACCCGGTGATTTGTAGCTGGTAGCCTGTCGCGCTCGACTAATCCTACAAAGCGAGCCGATCTTAGAAATTTCTGGACAATTTATTCCATGGCATGCGATGCGTAAAAGGGACACCGTTCGCGCGATTGTGGCGATGTAGCGGACATTGTGATCATCCATATTCGTGCAATCTGGAATAAAGTGACGAATCTATAAACGAACGTGTTGTAGAATTCAATATCGTATTTTGATTCGAGCAAAGGATTCGGTTCAGTTGATGCGGAATATATAGAGGAAAATATTATAGACAATATTTTTCATTGAAAAAAAAGTATCGATTTCCAAGATCGTTTTTATACGTTCGAAACATAAAAAAGCAGACTTGATATATTTAACGAATATATTCCTTTCGGGAAAAAAAAAAAAAAAAAATAATGAAACAAGTGAGCAATCTCTCACCTGTCGTGCGCACACAAAGACTATAGCGATCGCCACCCACAAAATCGATTCTCATTTATATGTTCCGCTCGCAGATGCGTCCCTGGCATTAGTGCCGTCTTCGTCTTCGCGTGTCGCTCTGCCTCCGTCTTTCTCGCCGTTCCTTCTTTTTTACTCTTTCACCGCGTCTCTCTCTCTCTCTCGCATCTCAATCTAGACCCCTCATCATGTTTTAATTTCACGGCCGGCTTTTCCCTCGCTCTGGATCCCTTCCGCGCTGCCAGCAGCCGGCGGTACCAGATAGAGAGATAGAAAGAAAGAGCCGAGTCCAGAACGAGGGAGAGAGAGAGAAGGCAAACTCGAATGGGTGCGAGGAAGATGAAACATTCATCCCCACCAATTCTAGGGCTCACTTCTATGGGGGCGTCACTCCGAGTTCCCTTCCATTCCCTCTTCCTTTGACCGACAGAGAAAGTCCCTTTATCCAAACGTCGATGACTCGGCAAAAGTGGCGAGTTAAAGAGAGAAAGAGAGAGAGACGGGGTGAGGTGTCTCGAAGAAGGGGGTAACAATCCGAATGGTAGTAGTGGCTGGTGAGCGCACGCCAACGAAAACAACATCCCCACTGTTTCTCCTCAACGTGCTTTTTCTGCGCCGTACACTCGCGTATACGTCACCTGCTTTTGGTCTTCCAAAGGGTTGCGACGGAATGGAGGGTGGGCACCAAATTTCCGATTTCTTTCGGAATTGACGCGATTAATAGAATGTTTCTGTTTGCGAACCAATGCACGCGTTTTGTCAATTTATTCCGAACGTGTTTTTTTGATATATTTTTATTATCGAAAGGAGGATCATTTTATTAATGTATTTCGATATTTTTAATTAGAATTCATTCTGAAACTGCTCTGAAGAATGCACTTCTTTTTAATCCTTTATAAACCGGATCTCTCTCAGTTTCTCGGTGCACTGAAAATTTGTTTTTCAAATATTGCAAAGAACGTGCAATCTCTGCGAGAGGACATTTTTATTTGTTTTTCACATTTGTTCTAAAAATTTGTACTTACTTAATTTATATCGATAAACATGAAATTTATGGTAATATGAGTATCTCTCTTTAATATTTTTTGACTTTGATCGTTTAATACGTATTAAGTTTAATCCATTTATTTTCTATCAGCAATGCAGATGTAGATTATAGGACAGAATAATGACACAAGTTTTTTTTTTACTGTGTTGAGTTGACAGCCATGCACAACACCGATCAAAAAAAAATTTTTAAACAAAAACGCGGGAAATTACTTTATGACAACGTGTCGTAAGAATTTCACGATTAATGGATTTTGTAAAAATAATAAAAAGTATGAGTTTATGTTAAAAATTAATCCACTTTATTTTGTCTCGTGGTCAAGAATTTGGTTTCGACGTTTTATTTTCTAATTATTTCATTTTCAAAAAAATATTCTTGTCAGTTTACTCATGTGTTCATTAGCACTTAAATGTTTTTGTACATACACGCGCTAAGTATTAATATATTCGCGTGTGAAACATATATCATAAATTAAAAGAGGACTATAGGTCCAATTCTTTAATCTTCGCTATTTTGAAAAAAAATTGCATTTTTTCTTATTTTCTTTTTCTTAAAAATTAGCATATATAATTTTATACACATAACATCATATATAATAAAAAAGCAAAGCATTTGCAAATACTGCGTTTCGGTCTGCAAAAACAAGTGGTTAAGAGAGCGGTCAATGCGATTTAAATTGCTGTCGCGGTTGCCACGCATGGAGAAACCCTAATAAGGACCTGCGGTGTAAATAAAGTCATTTACGGTAGGTGTCGTGCTCATGGTTTTTTGTCGAATCAACTCTTTCGTGTAGCATTTATGTTGGTTTAATTGGTTTAACAACGTACATGTGGCTTTTTATTTTCTCGCGCATTTCCATTTTTTTTCATTTCAACTATGATCTTGTATATGCATTGCGTTATGTGGATTGTCGCTGCCGAATCATTTACAACTATACGGCAATGTATATATCCTGTTCGCCAAAAATTAATTGCATACATTTTGTAGCTCTATAAAAAAATGTAATTATCGAAAACTACACATCGACTATATGAATACTTTTATATACAATATTATATATATCTTGTACATTGCTTTTTTTGCCAACTTGACGGCCAAAAAATGTACGGTTGATGAAATTTTAATAAGAGCCGATGTTATATAAATAAAGCTGTTTGCGATAGTTTTCTGCCGATCATTCGACGAACCGGGTCCTTTCATCGCGTACGGGAGAGATCGCGTACGTCAAGAATCGCGTCTCAAATGGGACTCTGGAGGATCGGTTTGTTTTGTGGATTAGACTCGTGTTTTAGTCGCGGCCCGCGACGAATCGCGAAACGCGGACTGGCGCACGTCGCCACTTTTTCTCCCGGCAAGAAGTCGTCGGACCGTATATGTTGCCACGACGAGACGAGCCGCGAAGGGCCGCGCCCGAAATTGCTTCCATAAATGTTGAGCACACATAATCGAATTTGCGAAACAATAAACCCGCTGATTGGAAATTAATCAAGTCGCCGTTTACGATTTTACGGTGGGCCGCCCGAAGAAACGTTATGCCGTCGACGCGAATACGAGAATGCTGAATGGGTTGAGATATCAAAACTTACGTACAACACGTTAAAAATTTATTACAAGAATAAATAATTAGTACATATATTATATATTATCTGTAGGGGATTTACATAAAATGTTTTATTAAAAACGTTTTAGTAAACTTATATAGATGCATGCCTATTATATATATAGTAAATGTGATAGTTTCTAAAATGATTATAGATTAATCCGTAACATATCATTCGTGTAATTATTTTTTTATCATTCATGACACTATTAATTCCTTTAAGTTTTCGATTATTTTTTTGCGTGTTTTTCTTCGAATTCGCTTTTATAGTGACATTTTCCAGAATAATTTTTATTCTAGCGAAATAAAAAACTGCAAAGTCAGTGTTATATCTAAACCATCCTAAACATTACAAGTATTAAAAAACTTGAAAAGTTTATACGGATAATTGGAAGTTAGAAGAAATATCGGGGTTAAGTCAAATCATTTGCGCAGTTATAATAATAATGCATAATACGGATAATATATCTCCCGTGCAAAAATATTGTTATTAAATCAACTTGAGTACTTAAGTTGATAATAATTTCTTGAGTATGTCAAACAGGTACATTTTTAAGACATGCCATTATATTATTGACTTTTATTAAAAGTACGTATAAGTGTGTACATGCGCTAAGTATACAAAATTACAGTAGCATTACGTAGAAGAGGTTCCGGAGGAGAGTTTATGTACAACAGAAGAAGTAATGTATATATATGCATATACGTATGTATGTACATATGTATATGTATATATACATATATAATATCTATGTATATGTATAAGTATAAATGGAAGGTTTATTTGGACGCAAAGGAGGACAAAGTTAGTAACAAAACTTAAAATATGAGCATCGTCATTTTCGTTTCTTAAATCGGCAAAATTTAATTCGTCACATACGGGCGGAATAATCTTTTGACGAAATATGAATTTACGAAAAAATCTTGATACATGATATACGCCTGTGTCCTTCGTTATATTTTTAATTATGCTATCTCTATTGAGCTAACAGTAAATACAGCGTAACGCGTCTCACATGCTCTCTTTCGAGTTTGACACAACGACGTTGCCGCGGCTTTGTCTCGGCTTTGAACCGAAATAATAGTATGTTTTTCTTAAACGTAGAATTTTAAAGTACAGTCATTTCAAGATTATCTTAATTTGCAAATTTTTAAACTAGAAATTCTGAATTTATTTTTGCTCTCTTGGCATTCTAATTTTCGAAATAAAGCCTTGTAACGAAGCCGGGCAACATAACACGTTTCGTCGGAGAATAGACTAAACAAACAAACAATAACAACAATAATAAAAAAAAAAAAAATATTCTCCTTTCGTGTTCAATGTACATATCGAGCTTTCTCGTCGTGCAAATAGCACGACGGCTTGACGCCATCCACCATTATTTATGACACTGTTGCACCATGCTCGCACATGCATGGTAAGCTGCGTCGATCGAAATATCATTCTCTCCAGCTTTAAATACATATATGTATATTTCTATGAAAAATTTGCTTTGATGATCAATTTAATGTTTTTTATGACTTGACTTAAATCCATCAACAATCGAATTATTTTACACGCATATATATATTATATTTAAATTTTATCTGTTGAAACGAATATTTCAATCACCTGCAGCGACGAGTTGCTCGATCTCGTGAAAACGACATGTATAGGAAGGCAAGAGAAGGAACTTCCTCGAGGAGCCTTCCTTATTTCATTGGTTGTATTTTGGCACGGGGTTGAGTCACGCGCGCTTATCTTCCGTCCTTACAAAGTTTACACGCAGGATTTTCACCTTAGAAGCATTTGTCGATCAAGTTGTAATTTAGAAAGACTTGGTTGACAAATTTTGGCACCAGGTGCGATATTGAATTATTACTAGTCAATAAAAATATGAAACAAATAAATAGAGGTACCATACATAGACTCGTACAAATAAGACGGAGTCATGAAATAGTACATATGATAGCTTTAACAGTTTCAATTACGATAGATTTCGACAAATAATTAATAAATCTACGGAGAACACCGTCCAGCGGCTTTGTCCGCGATCAATCTTCTTACACGTCGTGACTCGTACTCGTTTGAGCGTTTACAGCGAATCGAAGTTGGACTCCCGATCGCTAGTCTGTAAAAAAAATTGTTTAACAACATCCCCTTTCATCTCTTTTAACATCAAATCTTTATACTTCATTCAAATTCAATTGAAGAAGTATTTCGAATATGAATTGGCTTACCCTGTCTGGACTATATAACGGCGGATGCTGCGCCGGAAGTCTCAGTGTGCTGCCTAAATCTCGCTCAGCCATGGTGTGACCTTCGCTGGCGCTGTCTCTGGTATCTCTGTTATCTCTAGTGTCCTTGACGCTATTTCTTCGCGCGGCGGCGACCTTCGTCGGCGGCTGGATCGTCGTCTCGCCGCAGGATCTCGCCAAGGTCGAGCCAGCTTCGCCTAGATCCAATCTGAGAAGCTTGGTCGGAGCCTGGATGGTTGTCTCGCCACACGAGCGCGCCAGAGTTGAGTCAAGGTCAACTTGAAGGTCCTCGCTCCTCAGTACCTTAGTCGCCGGTTCTACAGTCGTTTCGCCGCAGGAACGTGCCAAAGTGGATTCGGCGTCTACCGTACGGGTCACTGTCGCTGATACCTACCGACAATTAAATTCCCATTATACCCACACTCTTTAGATTTGTCGCGAAAGTGATAAAAAACTGAACTAGTACCTGAAAACCGGCACTAACGAGAGCGCCCGTAGGCGTCACCGGATTTCTTGTCCCTTGCAGATCAGCCTCCTTGCAGTCTTTCATGCTGGATATGCTTGGTTTCCTGTTTCCCGGGCAGTTCGCGCCATTGTCGAGATAATTGATGAGTTTGTGTTCCTCGGCGGCGAACGTACTCATGCCGGCCTTGTAATTTTGCGGCGACTGCGGTGCCGATCGATATTTAGCGCGCGGTATCATTACCGTCAAGGAGCGATCGCGCTGATCGTCATGCATTGGTATTGCTGCGGGAGTATTAATTAATTTTATTAGACCGAATGGCTCGATTCCCTTAATACGGGTTATCTTTCGCGATCAATCATGTGATTCTAATTCGCGTAAGAAATTGTTTAAAATACATGATAAATGAGAAACATGGCAAAACGTACCAGCTGCAGGAATCATGGTAGCTTTTCTGGGCGGTTGACGAGGTTTTGCGCTAATCTTGCGAACTGGTCGTTTATTTGGCGGCAGCGGCGCGATCATTTGCGGCGGCGGTGGTAAAATATGCGGTACATGATGCGGAATGGCCAAGTCGGTGACGCTACCCTCGCTACTGGTATCGCCACTTGTTCTGGGAATCATCGCTCGTCTGTCGCCTGCCTTTCGATTGCGTCCTGGGCGTCGGAAACACGTCATTCCCACACAAATTGCTAGGAGACCCAACAAGATCGCTCCAGTCGTCACCAGAGCTATTAATAAAACTGTCAACATATAGGAACGTTTAATTAATTGAGAGATTATATCTTTTATTTCCATCATTTGCTTTATGTAGGCTCGATTGTATTTTCGTGCTAGATTGTTTCACAGACCAAGTTATTTATACCTTTGAGATTAACTTGACAACGCTGGCCGCTGTGCCAAGGGAAGCATTCGCACATTTCTTGACCGAGAGAGTTGGTGACGCAATGACCTTTGTTGCTGCAACCAGCGCATCCCAATGGAGCTTGCGAGCATACTCTTCCGGGATACGCTGGATTGTCCGACAGGTCAGCCCAACCTTCTCTACAAGAGCATTGGTAGGATCCTCGTAAGTTGAAGCACGCTGCATGAGGCGAACAATCATGGTACGGACCTCCTTCTTTAGAAGCGCATTCATCAAAATCGATCGCCTCGATCTAAATTAGATTCAAAAAGGAAATATCGAAAATTCATGATTAATAGAAATAAAAATTGAAAAAAGCAATTATTATTATTCTATTAATTAATTTATTATTATTTTACTCACCAAATCAAGATTCTTCGAAGCGTAAACTTCCGTGCCGCCTAAACTGTAATTACTTCCAATTAAATATTTTCGAAGAACTTCCTTTAATCTGGTCTCGTTAGCGTTATCGCTCAGCTGCACGTGAAATTCGACTTTCGTAGGATCCGGAGCGAACCCGGCAATTTTGAGTCCTCTGTATACGTCTCTCAAATCACTCTGCATTAAAGTTCTGTCTAAGGCCTCCTTCGTCGGAGCCGCCAAGCGTTTGTAAATTGCTGATGCGGAATCATTTAAGGCAGTTTCGTACGCCACGAATTCATGACCGACGCGGTCCAGACCAACGCGTAAAGTATACGTGTAAGTCGCTAAAAATTGAGCGTAATTGCACGTTAACATATATTAAATCAATATATCCACTAAATAATACATTGCATTATATAGAAACGCATATCTATAAGTATACTTACGTTTGCAAGGTCGATCCGGAAACATTCTCGCGAAACCTGGCCGGCAAACGCATCTCATTTCTGTTCCTATTTCGGCGCAAATTTCTGACTTGGATGCTTTACACTCTGGTGTACATTGATTCGCGACAGGTGTAACAGGCACCGTTGGTGCGCCTAATACTCCGCCCGCTAATACTCTGTGAATTTCATTGCCTGCCGGATCCTGTTCGTCGCGAGATACTTCATCTCCGTATTCAGCTTCAACCTGAAATTCAAGCAAAATAAGTTCGTCCATGCATATGAATTGTCATAACGATATTAATTAATTAATTATATATTTTAATATAATTATATTAAAATGTAATATAATTAATATAATTATATTATTAATTAATAGAATAAATATATAATTAATTAATTATAAAAATTATTTATATTTTTTTGCTGACAGGAAACATTGATTTAAAAAAAGTATATATTTAAATATTATAAACAAGAATAGAGAATGTATTGCTGTGAAGAGCCCTATATATAATACTTAGCAATTCGCTAAGATGAGGAACAATCTCAAATCGAGATTTATAAGTTCCTCTTCTCTTTACTTCCCTAAAATTGTAGAAAAATATTTCGGTCCGAAAAAGTCGGCTGAATTGGGAAGCGAACCCGAGACCTTTCGCTTACCGGGCGACTCTACCCGATTCAGCCGACTTTTTCGGACCGAAATATTTTTCTCGTCTACATCAATTTTAGGGGGGGGTAAAAGAAAGAGGAACTTATAAATCTCGATTTGAGATTGTTCCTCATCTTAGCGAATTGCTAAGTATTATATATAGGGCTCTTCACAGCACTACATTCTCTATTCTTGTTTATTTACAATCAGAGCGATCTAGCCATATCATTTGTTAAATATTATAATTGATAGAATGTATATATATATTTTTTTTACCTCTTCTGCTCCGGGCGCGGGTGGTTTCTGATCACTCATTACTACAAATATCGAGTCATTATCCACATTGTCGTAAGATGAAGGTATCCTTGTAACGATCGGTTGTAAGATCGTCGAAGTTACCGTAGATACAACACTCGTCGGACGCAACAATGTTTCTGTCACTGTCTCCACAGTCGTCGTGGTCATCGTGTGCGTGAGTAGAAGCGTTCTCGTTGTTGGTGGCGAACCTAGTACCGATGTCTTAGTTCTCGTTACCGTCGATGTCTTGAATCGTGTCACCTAGTTAATGCATATAATTAGCACGTATGATTTTTCGAAAGATGAAATAAAAATAATATAAATATCTAGATATATTATTGAAATATCTAGACACTCGCGTACCTCTTTTGGCTTCGTACGTATAGTAACATTGGACTCCTCTTTGGCGATGACACTAGATGTAGTTTTCTCAATGTCCTTTGTAAATTGCACAGTCGAATCACTTGTTTCGGGATACGTCTTATTGTTTAACGTTGGTGCCAATGTACTTGTTATTTTAGTGATTGAACTGTCGACCCTGGTAACGATTATCGATGAGTCTTCGTTCGCTGTTCTATTGACTGTTCTGTATTCGGTTGCATGCGGTTTTTGTGTCTTGATGTTCGACACGGTCGAATGTTGTTGTTTCTTTTGATCCGTTCCAATGATAAATGTTAAAGACTCGGTGGGTTCTACCCTGGTCGACGGTGAGACGCTTTCGTAACTAGATTCCAAGAATACTGGATGCTCTGGTCGCTTAACAGGATTTGGAGGAATATCAGATATATGCGATCTCGTTGGATTGACATCGCGATGAATCGTCGATGATCTGCTCGGCTGAATATAATTAATTTGAGGTGGTCTTAGCTTTGTCGGTATTACCATATTTGTAGACAATGTCGATGTCGTTTGAATGGAGAATCTAAAATATAGCAAATTATAAATTATAAATTTCAAGATTATACATTATAAATCATAAATTATTTTAATTATATTAATTATAAATTATATTAATTAATTATAAATTTTATACATATCATAAATTATTACAAGTGTAATTTACGTTACCTAGACACAGGCCTTGTATCGAAAGGTCGCACGGTATAAACGCTAACGTGTTCGGTTTTTCGTGTTTCTGCGGATCGGAGAATATCAGGAACATCGACTACGACCGGAAGGTCAACGGTACCATGAATAATCGGTATTTTAGATTCAATATCCTGAACTACTGGAATATGAGACGTGGCAACAGCAGTTGCTATTTGTATAGAACCGGAAACCGCAACGGCTGGTCGTACGGTTGCGATCTCGAGCGGTCTCGTCGTTGTTAATACCGGTGGTGGCGGTACCATATCCTAAAATACATTAGATATTATTTACTTATATTTTATTTTATACATATTATATAAATATTATATACATATATAATATAAATATATTTTTACATAGATATATTATATATATATATAGAATAGTATGTAAAATTTAAGGATGAGCATTTTGATGAAAATTTGTAGTATATTTATAATTGATTACCTGTGACAGTAGTTCCACGAGGAAAGGTCTTGTGAGTGACGGCCTCGGACTCGGTGGAACCATATTCGTGCTAGGCGGAGGCGGTGCGACTGTCGTCGATTCTTTTAGAGGTATATATTTTGGAGGTTTGAGACCCGATTCATTAGTCGTCACTAAAGCAAATCTATCATCTACCGGCACATGAGTGGTAGTGATGTCTACCGGCGGCGGTGACAATCCGAGTACGTCGCTCGACGGCGGCGTCGGCGGCGGCGAAAGTTCAATTCCCTCTTGTTCGTTTTTATTCGATCCTGCATTCAAAGGCGGTGGCATCATGTTCCTGGAGGGAACATTCATTTCTTTATTATTATTAACCGGTCGCGTCTTCAACTCGTCCTGGAAATCCGACGAGGCGAAATTCGTTTGATGCGCTGTATTCAATGTTTCATGCTCGTCTTTCTTGTTTTGCGACAAATTGTTCTTTGTGACTAGCATGCTGGGCGGTCTTTCGGTTTGCGTCTTGCTGTCGACTTCCTCGCCCGTAGCCTCGACCGACATGGAGAACTTGATGTTCGGACGATCGTGGGTTTCCAGACCCGCGATGCCGCTCGAGACGATTACCGGCTCCGGCACTTGAGGTTTCGGTTTTGTCAGAATATGAGGATATTCCGGATGGATCCTCGTGTACGTTCCGTGCTCTGGTCGACGTTTATTCCCGAACGTAATCGGACGAGATGTGGTGACATTTTTATGCTCGGTTTTCACGTTCTCAGGAATTCGGGAATTATGTCCCGTCGATATCTTTTGCTGAGATTTATCTGGTATCGCTGCATCTGCGTTCCAATTTTGAAGCTCGTGATTCAATTTTATTCCGTAATTTAATGTCTGATTGATAAAAGTTCCCGCGACGTTCAGTTTGACGTTTTCCGGACGTTTTGTGTAATCAGGTCTGATTTCCAATTTAATCGGAGGTTTTGTTAATATTTCCGGTTTGAGGTATAGAACGGGCCTCGAATCAGGCCTCGGTCTGGAGAACGGTCTGCCTGGTCTGTCTACTTCCGCGAACTGGGATATTATTGCTGGTGGCTTCAGATCGATAGTATCGTCGCGTTCGAGCGAATTTAGCGTCGTGGTTTGTCCATCTTGTATCTTCTTAACCGGTTTTATATTTTCATTGTGAGGTGCGGGTATGCCGTGAACTATTTCGTAATCGGGCTTGTTTTCTTTTCGTTTGTAACCGTAAGAAGTGCCCTGCTCGTAACCGTTGTAAACGCCGAAAGGCTTGCCCTGTACTATAGGTGTTTCGTAAGGTCTCGTGTCGTAAATTTCGGTATCGTAAGGTCCTTGTAATGGCTTTTCCTTTATTTCGTGTTTATTATAAATTACGCCGTGCTCCTGCCCGATTTCCGACGGTTTGTTTGTATTAACGGAAATGACTGTTCCGTACGGAATTTGTAATTTCAAGGTCTGATTTGTACTTTGATAATACGTAGAATCTGTCGTATGTTTTTTATTTTGAGTCGCAATTTCTTGACTCTTGTTTTCTTTTACATGATAATGATTCTGATAATTGATATATTCCGAGGCACCGATGTCAGAATCAGTATCCTTTTCGAGAGATTGTTCATTTCCCTTCGGTATCGAACTCGGATGTAAAGGATTGTGATATTCTATCGCTCCAGTAGGTATATTATCGCTCTGTTCGATTTGTGACGTTCCGATATTATGTACTTTATCTGAATAAATATGCGGTCTATTTTCGCTCTGAAGAGTAAACACTTTAGGCGGTATTCGAGTAGGTTCCTGATAAGACTGAGTATTCACCGACGGACGATGTGATAATGCAAAATTATGTTGCGTGTTTACCGGAGGTCTCTGCGGTCCGGAATATGTTGGTTTCCTGATCGCGGGATATCCGGTCGGTCGTTCTACAAAGACATGTCTATCCAGAGGACGATTAGTCGTCGGCCTTAATATCGGTCGCGGTCTCGGTCGATTGTTTAATGCGAATCTAATTGGTTTTTTATCGGATTTCCAGTTGGCACCTAAAGCTACGTCGTTTCCAGAATCTGGTTTTCCAAGGAAAATATAGCGATGTGGCACTTCGGTCGAGACCTCTGCGCGTCTCGGTGGAACTTGTTCCCCTGGATTTTGATTGTTCGAGAAATGACCGCGTACTGGCGTTGATTGATGGATGGAATGAATAGATGGATGAGGAGCTGGTTGCGGTCGAATGTTTACTGTCTCTGGTTTATGATGTACAAGAATTTCTGTATGAACGTGGCCCTGACTGGAAGTTCCGGATCCGTCAGGGCGTTTAATAAAGTGGACTTCTGACGGTCTTTTATCGGGTCGCTGTGCAGATGTTTCTGACACTTCTTGCGGTCTTCCGCGGACGGGCGACAAGAGGATAGCGTGCGGACTGGAGAAACCCGGTTTCGACGAAGTAGGCTTAAAATTAGCAGGTGGTGACGGAGGAACCATGTAATCAGCTGGATTTTTTTCGCTTGCATATTGCACTAAGTCCTCGACCTAAACATATATAGCGGTATAAAATTGAGCTCTGCCATAAGAAAATTAAATATTTGAAAATTGTTATACATACTTTCTGAATTCCGACGAAACCAGGTCCAACTTCAGGTTCCGGATAAGGTGAAGGATCGTCAAAGTATTGCCCACTTATATGAGGTTCATTGGTATCTCCAAAAATTAAAGCTTGCGTGCCACCTTGAGGAATCACGACGTTAGCTACTTGACTGGGTTGAATGTTGACCAATAGAGGTTGCCCCGTCGATCTGTCAATGACATGCGGGACTTGATGAACTATCGGTTCAGTTGGAATCGGCTTCGATTCGGAGTTCTGTAGGATAATAGAAGTATCGGGTAATAAAGGATCTTTTTGTGCCCATGGTGGTCGTTTCTGCTCTTCCGAAGGCAATATAGTTGGACGAGGTTTTTCAATCTGTTTATCCGGATGAATCTTCAAAGAAATTATCATATATTGCTGTGTGTATACGCTGCAAATGCTCCGAAAAAAGTTTATAATTAATTATAATCAAATATAAATACATATAATTAGAGAGATATAACATATGAAAAAAAAAATATATAGACATATTTTATACATAATTATATTATTTATATTTAATTATATATGAACTTTTTTCCGAATATACATAAAAATAATACATATGAAGTAAACGTTAACGTCAACGTACCTCGTCAAATCTCGCAGGTGATAAGGGTGGTGTTAAAGGATCCTTGGCACTCCAAGGTCTTCTGTATTTCTCCGGATTCCATTCCGGAATTTTATGATTTACATTAGGATTCACATATTGCTCCACATTCGGTCTATCGGGCGGCTTCAGCAAAGGATCGTTCTCCAAAATATCTTGTTTTGAGATAATTCTTTTCGGTGGTAATGATTGAACGGGAAGCAGTTTTTGAGGTTGTTTAGAAACTGTTGAATGATTCGGAATATCAAGGGGAATTGAAACCGGCACTTTCAAGTGTTCCTCGTAAATCTGATGAGCCGGTAAGATCTGCACTTGCGGACCTTGCACGGTTTGTTGAGTTTGCACATCGTCGCGATCGTTCTCCAGGACTTCTAATACAGGATGCACCGGAATATTCGGTACCGGTAAAGGCGGAGGTTTCATGCCAATGTGCTTCTCGTCTTTCAAAAATGTCTGCGGCAGTCTCGGTGCCATTTTGCCCGGTTTTCCTATGATAACATCGCTGTTTGCCGTGATTATTTCGCCCGGAGATATCGGTATGCCGTCGGCAAGACTGCTGGTTACCTTGTGACGCGTTTCGGCGATATAATTGTGATTGAGATTCGCCAAATGAGCGGCTGAAAAATACAATTTTGTAAGACGCCGAATAAAACATTAATAACGATTATAGAAAAGAATATTTACCGATGTTTTGACTTTCGGCGGTTTCTATATCACCATCAGCAAATTCTGCGACGGGAATATAAATCGGCGATCTCTGTGTTGTGACTTCTTGAGTTTCGGGGACAGATACGGTGTCGTTTCTACGAGAGGCAGTGTTACTTTTGCCCTGCAGCAATCCAGCCATCGCCGTAATTACCGGTCCCAAAGCAGACAAACTGTTTATTCCTAAAGAACCCAGACTGAGGAGATTGTTGACTGGAAGATTCTCTTCTCCGGATTGAGAATCGGGACGTTTGTTTTGTGACTCGTCAGTCGATAGTGTGTCATTATTATCCTATAAGAAAATGTAGAAAATTTATATATATATATATTTAAATTTTGATACATATATTAAGTGTGAGAAACATCTACACTTTTTTAAACAAAAATTTTTTTTATTTATTGGGAGAATGACAAAATATAAACCTGTTTATTTGAATCCACTGGTTTCACATCAGAATTAACATTCTCCGACACCGTATCCGTCGACATCATAGCTGTCGTGCTCGTGACACTCTTCTCGTGTTTTTTTATTTCCGCGAAAGAGGTTGATTCCGGGAGATTTGAGGTCGCTGTCGGATCGATCTGAGCCTCTTCGTCGAAAAAGATAATAGTCGAGCCCGTGACAACATTTTTCACCGGATCAGAATGATGGGCAGTCGTCAATAGAGCATTCATGTAATCGGCATCTAATAAACTCGGCGCTATCGATTCCGTCACGACATTTTCAACGATATGCGAACGAGATGTTACAGTGGTTGACGTTTCTCCATCTGGGCCAGCCTAAAATAAGCGAAATTTGAAATGTGCATATATAATATATTAGATATAATATATTATACACATATATATCTAATACAGTGTATTATAAAAATGTAATGATTACCTGCAGTAACGTTGTAAAGTAAGTGAAAGTTGTAAGATATGTTTTGGTAGCAAAGATCTGTATAGGTTCCTGCGTGGGATTAATCGGAGCTGCTTTCATGGTAGTTTTTCGCACTGGAACTTTCTCTAATACCACGTCAGTCGACGTGGCTACATTCGTATGAACTACCGTGCTACCCTTTTCTAAATATGTATTGTAATATGTATACGTGATGTAATATGTCTTTGTTATATCTGTCACGCTACCGTCAGTATTGTCCAAAGCAGTCAAAGTTGTTGTGACACTGGTTGGTCGCGGCGGAGGTGCTGATTCTGTTACAATTAGCTGAAAAAAAGATGGAAAAAAATTACGTAATATTATAATGAATATAGGTATTTAAATAGTAGAGTTTATAGAAAAGGAGGCTAACCTGGGTAATCGTGTCGCTGACCGTATTTATTTTCGTTCGACCTTCTTCCATAAATGTCTTTTCTAAGACTCTGGTACTGAGATATGTATTTGTTTCCGGTCGCGGAGCTTCTGATGGCTCGAGAATCATGTCTAGGTAATGCTGCGGTGCGGTAACCGTGTTTGTTATAACTTTCGTGCTACTTTCCAAAGCGTCATTCACATCCGGATGATCCGTGTTCAAGGTCAGGTACGTGTAAGTCGTTTTAAATACTTCGGTACGTAGAGTCGGGGACGCTTCTAGAGTTACAGCTGCCGTTTCGGAGCCAGGTTTTCTATGTCTTTCCTCCGTCGCCGTGTTTGCTACAACCTAGAAAAAAGAAACATAACATTTTTACCAATAACAAGTTTTGCGGGATATTATAAAAATTTAAACATCCGCAAAGAATTTCTGTTGCTATTCATGATACGAGAAAATAAGAAAGAGATTATCTCATTTTAAAAAAAGATTACAATTTTTTGTTAAAACTATATTTTATATACGATTATCTTTTTATAAAAATTACTTGTGTTTTTTAAAATAAATAATATATCAACGCTATATGAGTTTTATTAATACTGTGTTCTTAGCCGATGAAAAAAACGATTGGAACAACTTATAATTATAATACATTGATTCTTTCTTTACTCATATTTTACGCGATGATTTCTTTTTTTTACATTCTCGCATATCTCATCAATAGGAACAAAATTTATTTCAGATAGTCAATTTAGATAAAATATTCTGAGATGAAAAATTATTATATTATACTGTCAATTTATAACGATAAAAGTAAGAATAAAAATTGAACACGTTTATTATTTTATCTTTTAAAAAAATAAATGTATAAAGATGTGTGCGTAAGAGCACCTGCTGCTCTGTAGTGACGGTAGTCGTTCCATTCTTGGTGATCGTGCTGAGATACGTGAAAGTTGTTGTGCAAGTCTTCGTGACAAACTCGTTCGGTTTATCCTGCGGCAGGAGCATGACCACCGCCTCCGACAAGGTGAGGGTAGGTTGAGGATTCGAGTTCTCCCATCGCAGAGCCGGAGTTGGCCCCGCGACGATGACTTCAACGCCGTTTGACATTACACGGGTCGCTAGATTGAATCTGCGTCCCTCCTCTTCATCCTTCGCCTCATATTCTCCTATTGTTACGATTCCATAAACGATATATCACAATGTATTGTGAGAGGGAAATTATCTTAATGTATATATAACGATATTATTTCTCGAAAAATATTATATACATATGTATATAAAATAATTTTTTAATAGCTTACCTATCGTTTGTGTCGCATAAATCAATCGCACGATTAAATGTCTGTATTATTATTGAAGAGAGAATCGTGTATTCGGAATACAATCATTTGAAAATTTTTACAGAAAATATAAAATCAATGAAATTATATAATTTACACAGTGTGATTAATATTCATATACATATCGTACAAGAAAAAAATGCAAATTTAAATATATACAACGTCATTTTGTCATATACAATATGTACATTTCATATACAGGGTTGTAATGTACAGGAAAAATTTAGATTACCAAAAGCCAATTATATATATAACACAGTACTTAACAGAGTATTTATACAGTTCGTTTCATTTAATAAAATTCACGTAAACGAGAATGAGAAAGTCTATAGCGAAAAAAAAGTTTATTAGTCTAAGGATTATATTACACTGCGACAAACACCGCGTGTCCTCGCGATTAATAAAAAATAATTGTCTTTATTTATTCGTAGCTTTCTTTCTTTTACTTTGAAAATTTATAAATCTCGCGCAATATAATGGCAGTTTTGACAATATATATATATTAATAATATTTTTCATAGAATTGTTAATTAGAATTGTAACGTTTTCTCGAGGGCACCGTGTGATTGTCGCAAAAGAGGTCTGAGATGGGTAAAAGAGCTACTCACCGGCTACTGGATTATACACAGACGATTCGAAGCCGGCTGACGACTCCACGGTAGGAGTGACAGTCACCGTGACGGGCACCGTCAGCGTAAGTGTCGTCACTCTCGGTCGTACGGTCGTCGACGATGTCACTTTAGTCTCCAGTCCGTTCTGTTGTGTCACCACGTACGTGTAAGTCCTTAGTCGCGTCGACGTCACCACCGTCTCCGTGTAATAAACACTCGTGCTTGGCTCTAACGTGAGATCCGGCGTGGATTCGGTCTCTAAGCCGATCGTGGCCGGTTTCGACGGCAAGATCTCGGGGAAATCGAGGCGGGACAGCGACAGGTAAAGATCGTCCGCTAGTCCGGCCTCGATCTCCTCCGGCGTGGGCGAAGCAATCTTGCTCGTGACTTTGGTCACGGGAATTGTGTCAAGTACGGAGGTTTCGCGAACCGATGATTTCGTCTCGCGAGCGTAATTCGCGCCGAGGGGTATCACGCTGGGTATGTACGAATCCGCGGGATAATCCGACGCTAATTTCCCGAGTGGTAAAACGCTGTCAATTTTAACGTCCGGTTGTATGGGTCGTACTGTTAGTAGCTCTTCCGGGATTTCGCTGATCGTTTCCGGTATCATGTCCGTATCTTCGGGAGATTCTTGATTGAGATTCTCTTCTTTCGAATCGAACGTCGTCGTCTCCATCGTGTTAGATATTCTCGTAGTATCCTCTTCATCGGAGAGGCTTGTAGATTCGGTAGATTCGGGCGCGTTTAATGTAGTAACATCATCTATGATAGTAGTTTGCTCTTCAGGACTGGCAGTCGTGTACTCTTTCGTTGCATATTTATCGTCATTATCTTTTTCTACAGGAATAAATTCAGCAGCTGGTACATCTTCATTTAATACGGCAATCTTCAATTCTGTTATATTTTGTTTTATTCGCGTCTCTACGTCGCTCTTATTAGATTCGACATTATTTTCGTCCTTTGCAGAAATTACTTTGCTTGTGGGATGCTGCTCGTCTTTCATGAAAATGGCGATGTTATCTATATTTTCAGTTGTAGTACTTACGTCGAAATAATCATCTTCGTATTCTTCATCTTTCTCGTCATCAGACACAGGGAAAAAGAAATTGTCGGTAATTATCACTGGCGTGTCTGGCAAGTTTCCTTTAGATACAGTCGAACTAATTTGCAATGACGTCGTTTTTTCGTTCGGTTTATTATCAATAACATTCGGCGTTTCTTCAAGGTTAGGAGTAACGATATGATCTTCCTTTTGAACAGTGTGTTCTTCCTCGTCTTCCACGTCTGAATATTCTTCATCGTACTCCGAGGAAGGTGCGGTAAAGAATCCTGCAGTGATAATGGCAGCAGTAGGCGTTGGTAATATCGGTCTCACCGCAACTAGCTTCTTCCTGGTAACTCTAACTTTATCCTTGACTGCCGTCGGCGTGGACTGAAGCTTTCTGCGTCTGGTTATGGTCACCTTGTGCTTTCCGATGGTAGACTCATGATTGACAGAGTCTAGAATATCGTCCGGATAGATGGATTTGTCCGAGCCGAGAGTCCTGACGCGCGTCACCACGATTCTTCGTGCTGCGTATGGTTCAGTAGAGGTGAAATAGTCGAGATCCTGCGTGTGAGACGTCAAAGGTCTACGTCTGACGACCGTGAGCTTGTGTTGCCTAGCGGTTCTGCTACGCACCACGGGCACGCGAATTCTGACACGTTTTTTCGGCACATCCTGAAGAGATTCGTACTCGTCCGCGAGTCTTCCAAGATTCACGTCATCCTCGTTCGTGGACCATATGTTGCCTTCTCTCTCGCGTGCGACCTTTCTATTTCCGTATTGCACCGACTCATCGTAGAAATCACCTGCAAAGGCGATGCGTTTCCACTCGTCTGTTTATAACATATTATCCATCTCGTGCTTATAGATTCATTTTGCGATCGATATCAAAGTTTTTAGATCATGTCTTGTTTTCGGCGTTTTTTTTGTTGTGTGATGCGTTAATCAATTGAAATTAAATTACGCTGACGTTTGATGTTTTGTTTTTTTGTATGCACGTCCGATTTTGGATTTTGCCTCGTATATTGTGCATTTTTAGTGACATTATCCGTGTTTGTTTGTTGTGATGTTGTCGGCGGAAGAGAGTATCATGTCCGGCTTTGTCGTGTGGGCGCGCGTGCGGCGGCAGATCGAGGCTGTGTTAGTAGGAGAAAAATATGGGACGACGCTCGAAGGGAAAATATTTAGAGGGAAATAGAAGAACTTAAGAGAGGGTTTGGGAGAGAGCGAGCTGTAAAAACGAATATACGAGATAGCCATCGATAGCTTTTTTTTTATCGATGCTGCAAACTACCCTCGATTCTTTCTTTATTGCTTCAAGAAAAGAGATCTCGGTAGTTTCGATTATTATCTATATTACATTACGCAACAATCTCGCTTCTCATCAACGTTGCTCTTTATTGTCCACTGCGACGTGCCCGAAGAAAAAGCTAAACTAACGCTCTCCGAATGGAATAGAGATTTAGGGAAGGCAATTAGAGTTTCGGGCAAATCTAAGTGGATTTCGATTAAATGACGATAATTACGGATAATTATGACATGAAGGGCGAAAGGGAAGAAGGAGTGAGGAGCCTGAAGGGAAAGAGATTTTTTTCGGCGAATGGGACAAGATTAGGTATAGATGGACGTGGAAATATGCCGTCCGACGTCACCCACTACGCTCTCGAGACTTTGTGTCGGTGCGTGTGCGTCGCTAGGATCTTCGCTTCCCGCTAAAATGGCGACTGCCGCCGGTCCGGCGTGCAATGACGGCGGTACGGAGGGTCGGACCTCGACAGTTTCCTCCAAGGCACCTCTTCGTCTCCTGGACGCGGTCACGGATTCGCCGACCTTCACGGTGCTCAGAACAGTGCTGAATTCTCCGGGTCTGCGGCCGGAAACGTATAATGTGACCACGCTGGACTCGAGCTTGCTCGAGGCCGCGGAGGCTTTTTTCCTGTCGTTTGATTTGCCACGTCCGCCGTGCGATCTAGACGGTTTCTGATATTCTTCCACCTCGCCTTCATCCTCGGAATATTCGGAGCTGTCGTGTCTGTAGTCGGAATCGGCCGGCTGATTTCTTCTCTCGACTTCCCCCGGTAAGGTGTTACTCTGTGTAAATGGAGGAGGCGCGAACAGAGGATCCAGCAACGGATTAGAATTTTGCGACTGTGGTTGTTGAAGCAACAGCAGGAGGGAATTGATATTCGCCGCCGATATCGCAGCTGTCGGAGTTACTACAACGGTATCCGTTATGAATTCCGTCGCGGTGACAACGTCGGTCGAGGAATCGACTAGAGTCGTTAGGATCTCTTTCCCGCGGAAGGTGAGAGGAATGACAGTGCTCTGATGTTTCGTTATTGTAGTTACGTAGGAAGTAGTGCGTGTGTTATATTGCGTGGTGGGCGTAGTTTGTTGAGGTTGTTGTAACAGAGGATTCGGACCTAATTGACCGAGTAATAATTGCGAGAGAAGAATATTGGCGAGAGGAGCGTTGCCGGGCAAGGACGGCTGTATCGTGGAAACGATATTTTCCACGGAATATACTGTTGTAGGTACGATAACCGATTGAGAGACGCGACGACCACCGAGGCTCGAAAGAGTATGCGAGATACGTGTGGTGGGTGTCTCGTGGAGCAAAAATCGTGTGACCTCAGTCTGACCCTGACCGTTGGTACCCGTAACTTCGCTGACGATTACCACAAGCGAGTTGCCGTCTCCGGCTGTCACCGTGCTATATTGAGAGGGTCTGAGAACTTCGGTGCTTGGTTGCTGAGTTATAATGTTACGATGTTCCGTCACGCCGTTGTTTACCACAGGAATCTTGATCTCCGTTGGCACATAATGCGTCACGGTTATCGTGCCGTCAAAATTCGGATACACGGTCGGCGATTCACGGATGTCCTCGTAAGATCCTCTTCCTCTTGTAGAACCTCTCCTGCTACTTCCGCTTCTTCCGTTCGTCGACCTTGAGGATCCGCGGGACGACGGTACTCTTCGAGAATTCGAAGATCCGATTGAAGATCCGTTTCTTACTCTCGGTGGTCTCACTCTTTGAGTCGTTTTACTGCTCGATCTGCTGCTCGGTCTTGAAGTCGGTCTCTTGTAATCCGACCTGCTGATCGAGGTAGCATCTTTTTCTCTCAACGTAAATTGTCTTCCATTGCTCGAGATCGAAGACGGTTTTATTCTGACAGATCCGTTTCTATTTCCATTAATAGATTGAGTCGTTCTGGTTTTAGGTTTATTCTGTTGATTTACAAACTCTGTTGTTTCCGTCGATTGATCCGGATTAAATATTTTCTGTTGCGACGATTGCGACGGCGTCAAACTTCGCGCTCGATTATTATATCGAGGACTAGGTTTCGGCGTTATTTTTGTAATGTCTTCTTTACTCGAGAAGTCGTCTAAAAAATCAGATTTCTCTTCATCTTTTATAAATGACGATTGACCGGGTCTATAGAAACGACTGTTATATGCTCTCAATTGACTAGCTTGACGACGAACTCTTCTCGTTCTAGTTCCGAAAGGTCTGATTTGTACGGCGGAACCGACGGCTTTCCCAGAACGACGATTGACATTTGCATTCGATCTTCTATCTTCGTGTTCTGATCCTTCATAATCGTTATCCGATATCTCTTCGACAGGTTGTTCGTCCTCGATACTTTTACCATTTTCGCTTTCGTGTTCTTCGGTTGGCTCTTCAGTTACCGATTCCTGCTTTCTACCGAGAAACCCACGTGGAGGGAACAGGCCTGTATTACTTGGTCGATTTCTTGTGGATACTGGAGGAGTCGCGCGTGTATTTGTTCGTCCATTCGTCGCTCTGGGAACTGTCGGCGCACTCGGTCTATTTAAATTTCCCGATCGTCTCGGTGTCGTGGTAGTCGTTGGTGGTCGTGCGGTGGTTCCCGATCTACCGTTTAAATTAATAGGTCTGCGGAATCGCAAGAGCGGATTCGTAGATCTTCTGGACGATTCCGTCGTGGTCTGCAAAGGAGTAGTCGCAGTCTCGCCCTCGACATATTCCGTGAACGACGTCTCGTCCGTGAAGATCGTAGCCGTGGTGAATTCATTAGCGTCGTTCTCCTGATCGTCGGTTGGCCTAACCGTAGATTGTCCTCTCAATAACGTCGACGATGGTCGAATGCCGGGTCGATATCTCGAGGAAGCGCCGGGAAATACAGAACTCGACGCGCGAGTCGCGAGTTTAGAAGAGGATCCTCTTATCGACGTCGGTCCGCGTCTGTTGCTTTGAAACACGGACGACGGAGTTATTCTGGTTTGTTGTCCTCTGGCTCGAGTACTGCTCGATGGGAGTATCGAGCTCGAGGTGACGCTGCTTCCTCGTCTACCCGAAAATCGTCGAGAACCTGACGGCGATAACGTCGAGGAATACGGCCCGATGGGCGAAGTGACGCGACTTCGCGACGAAGCGAATCTGTTACTTTTACCGGCCAAAGTCGCGGTTATCGTTGGCGTTATATCCGTTCTGGTGATAGTCGTCGCGGCTTGCGCGCCTTTACGTTTTGGATTAAACGTCGGTCTGTTCCTGGAGGCGAACGGTCTGATCACTGGCGTGAACGTTCTCTTTCTGGTCGAGAACGTTAATCGTGATTTCTTTTTAGGGTTTTGCCCGTCTTCGTCTTCTTCGCCCTCTTCGTCCTCTTCTTCGTTCTCGTCCTCCTCGTGATCGGGAGATTCTGTCGAATCTTCGGAAGATTGAATGACGGCGGGAGAGGGCGAGATTTCTGGAATACCCGTCGACTGGCTCGGAGGTAGAGTAGAAGTCGGCGAAATACTCGCCGTGGGATTCGCGAAGAAGCTGGAAGTGCTTTCGATAATTTGAGCGTATCTACCCTCGATGCTAGTGCCGATAACTTTCGATTGATAGAACGTAGTGGTTCCGTCATTCTCGATTTGACCCTTAATCAGACGCACCAGACCAGTTCGATGACCGTGAATCGGCGAAATAGTCGATTTCTTGTCTTCGTCTATCTTGGTGCTCGACGTGCTCTCGATTACTTTGGCGTAAGTTCCCTCGAACAGCGTGCCGATCTGCTTGGTTGTGAAGTAAACAGTGGTGACTTGGTCGGCATCCACTACGCTTCCCTTATTCAAGGACAGAACGCCCGTAGGAAGAACCGGCGTAGCTATCGACGAGGAAAATAAGGGTGGCGTTTCTATCCTCGACGAGCTCTTTACCACTCGTGCGTAATATCCATCCACGTAAGTGCCGTATACATCCGTCGTGTAATGAGTCGTGGTATCTTCGTGTACTTCGCTCGAACGTATCGTCGAGATCAAACCCGTTTTCAGATTCTCGGATACCTTGGAAGGTGTCACGGTTATCTTCTCATCGGTATTTAATACTTGAATCGATGGATATACAGGGCCGTTAATCGCGCGTCCGGTCGCCTGTTGCGTCGCAATATCTGGTGTCGATACGCTGGTTATCGTCTCCAATCTACTGGTTAGAATCGTCTGGTTCCCGATGTAGGACGTAGTGAAATAAGTAAACGTAGTATAGAAGGTCGTGGGTTCGGGCGAGATTGGCGAAGTATTCACGACGTTCTTCTCGTCGGGGCTGGTTATAATTCCTTTGGACAATTTGTTCGTCTTTTCGGTAATGGATTTTTCCGGAGCGGCGTTGCCTAAAGGCGTAACTTCGTTATCCGCCGTAATCTTGGATTCTTCTTGCTCGTCGATATAAGAATCGTCCTCTGACGGAGGACTCAAGGTTGGCGTGTACGTCATTATCACGCCGAGTTCGACTCTGGGCGTAGGCGAAACTCCTGGCGTGGCGACGTTGCTGATCGTTTCCTCGCGACTAGTGGTTAAAGTATCGCCGCCCTTGTAGAATGTCGTCCAGTAAGTAAAGGTTGTGAAGTACGTGACAGGCAGCGTGCTGGTAGGAACCGGCACCACGAGGGACGGCCTTAAAGTCTCTGTAACGACGTTCGTAATTGTTTGTAGACGGCTGGCGACATTCGTCTGGTCGCCTTTGTACATTGTCGTGAAGTACGTGAAGGTCGTATAACTGGTCTGCAGAAGCAACGTCGGTGCCGGCTCTACCTCGTGATTATTCGACTCTGACAGTTCTTGATCCTCGGGAACGGCATTTCTCTTATCCATCACATCGAGAACGGTACCGCCACCGGAACTAGAAGATGACACGACATCCGTAATCATAGAGCCCAGAACTTCCACGTCGGTCGGCGGATTAGGCGTTACTTGCGCGCCTACTTGGAAATTACGGAATAGGTTCTCTTCAGTGGTCGAGCGATCTTCCAAGGTAGTAGGCAGCTCCGTCGTTGTCTCGGTATCGTTTTCGGTCGTGGTTTCGTCAGCCTGCGTTGTTTGATCCGTATTGGCCTGCTGAACTTTTTTTGCCAGTGAAAGCGCCTCTTCCTGGGACTTTTGACGTTGCAGAGCCTGTAAATACGCCAAGATTTCCGGAGGAACTGATGCAGATTTATTTTCGGCAGATTCAGATTTTGGCGTCGTCGATTGAGTCGTCTGTTGCGAAGCCGATTGAACGTTCGTGGGCGTAATAGATTCCGTCACGATGTTAGTGAAGACTTCGGTTCGTGTCTCGATTTCCGTTTCGTCGTCCACAAAAATAGTGGTGAAGTACGTGTAAGTCGTGTAGTACGTTTTCACTTGTTCTTTTATCGCTTGACTCGCCATTGCCGGAGTCGGGCTCGGCTCTAAATCAGTGATCCATCCATCCGACGTCTCAAAATCATCAACTGTCGTGATAGATTCCGTTGGAATGTTCTCGTGTACAGTAGTGTCCTGATCTTGGAAAGTAGTTGGATTTTCTTCCGTCGTTTCGTCGGAAACTTTATGTTCCTCAGAAGTTTGAGCGTTTCTCACAGACGGGAGGATATTCTGCGATATCGTTGTCGGTGAAATCAAAACGGATTCATCCTTGTCAAAGAGACTGGCGACAATGGCGGAAACGCCGTTAGGTCCAACAGTTTGCGTGATAACGTTAGTTTCGATGACTTGTCGACTGGATACACTCGACGTATTTTCTTGGAAGAACGTCGTTAGATACGTATACGTCGTGTACAAAGTTTTGAAAATTAATTCTATTTCTTCGTCTTGCTTGGTAGTCTGTTCTTCTTCAGTCTCGTCAGGTAAACTTGGTGTTTTTGTGCCTGGTGAAGAAGTAGATTTGATCGAACTATCGGTCGAGGTAGGTCGAATTAATTCCGTGAGAAAGGTTACCTCGGAGGAGACTACTTCTCGAGAGCGTATCGAAGTAGTAGTCTCCTCGTTGTTTGGAATAAAGAAAGTCGTGAAATATGTGAATGTCTTGTAGACGGTAGACGGTAGTAATCTAGTCGCTAATGTCACTTTCTCTTCTGCATTACTCGATTTAAATCCATGCGGCTTGTATTTTCCGACTTGATGATTATTCAGAGAAGAGTCGCCTTTGATGCTACGACCCTGAGGATCTCCCGACGCGATATCATTGGGAAATTCATAATCTATATTCGGTCGCACTCGTTCGGTTGTTCCTAGCACTCTTCTCGCGCTCTCTAAAATATCCTTCAGGGTCGTAAAGACTCTATCCGTTGTGCTTTTCAATGGCGTGGTCAGCTCATTCATCTCAGGCGGTGTTTCTTCGTTGGTCGTCGGCGTAGTGGAAGGCAGTGCCTCAACCGTGGTATCTTGCTCGTCGGGTTCCGTTCCTGTTGTACCATACTCTACCGTGGTCTCATCATCCCCGTACAACGCAGTAGCCTCATCCGGGAAGAAATACACATTCGAAGACGTGTGAATAATTTGCGCGTAATTCGTGCCGATATACGTGCCGTAAATAAGACTCTTGTAATGCGTCGTGGTACCGTCCAACGAAGTAGTGGAGTCGATGACTTTTAGAAGACCCGTCGGCTTCGATGATCCCGTTTCGACATCGGGTACCAGCAATAACGGTTCCGTGGACATCGTGGACGACTCGCCTTCGATCTCCTCGGTGACGCTCGGTTGAATATTGCCACGATTGATCGCGCTCAATAGTCGATCATCCGAAGCGTGCTTCTGGCTTTCCTCGTAAGGCCGATTGGTTCTCGTCGCGCGTTCCATCACGCTCGTGGGACGGATCTTCACCACCGCCACGCCATCGTCCGGACGAAGCGTGGCGTCGCCTTTGATCGTCGTGGCAGGACGTCCCACGGGCACCGGTGACGTGCTCGGCGAGAAGACGATGACGGTGTCGCCTACCGTGGTCGTAAAGTCCGCGAAACCGTGATAAGTCACCGTGGCGAGAGGCTTCGCGTCTCCTTTACTTTGCGGCGGAGCTTTCGTTTGCGGTTTAAAAATTTTCGGCACTCGCGGCCTCAAACTCTTGGACTGCACGTCATCGAACGAGTCGAAGCTGCTCGTCACGTACTCGTGCTTAACGGTATAAGTGGGCAAATTGTCGGCCGGTCGTACCTTCGCCGGCTTGAACCTCTGTGCGTCGACATTTAGCTCCTTTTTGTTGAATATATCGTTCTCTTTGAATAACTCGTCCAGTTTTGTGGTACTCGCGGTTTCTTCCTGCTTCGATTCACTCGATTCCGCATTGCTGTCGCCCGTCGGAATTGGTATCCCTTCGATAGTCTTAATCGGCGCTTCCTTCAATCGCCAGTCATTTTCAGGCGCTTTCGAGGGATAAACGACGTAGGGGCTCGATGGATCTGGCGTTGAATTTTTATCGTAGAACACTCTGCTGGATGTTGATAGAATTCTTGCGTAGAGGCGACCGTTGTCTAAAGTCGTACCAAGGACTTGAGTGGCGAATTCGGTGCTTGCACCATCTTGCACGAACGTTCGTGCCGTTTTTGTCAATATTCCAACCGGAGATACGGACTTTCCGGGACGCGCGGAAACCAAGAGGACCGTGGTCACTCCTGAAGAGTCAAATTCGAAAGTGAAGATTATACCCGGAGCAACATTAATCAAATTATTAACGAGATGGGACACGTGGCATCATAACGGGTTGATGATTTATCGATAGAGTCATAGAGAACGAGAGCAAAAGAATGAGGGAAGCGAGGGAATTGCATAGGTGCAACGGGACACGAAGTTAAAAATATGTTTGGCCATTCGAAACCAAGCGCAAATGTGCAACGAATTTGATTCGTTCAGCCACGTTTCGCATTTGCGAGTCCGTCCGTGTCGTAATCGTCGTATAAAGTGCGTCGGCGTTCGTTTGCATCGACGGTCGATGCAATTCGCGTGTATTGTTTTTTTTTTATTTTTATTGTAATGTAGGTCGTCGGAGAGACGGAGTGGCGGACGGACGTTGGAGGCAGACGGCATCCAGTTGTTGAGAAGAGTTGAAGGCGGGGAGCAGACGGGAGCAATAAACAGAAACAGAAAAAAAGAGATAGACGATCTTAGTAGACTAGCCTTCTTCTTTCGTAGCCTAGGACACCTGTTATAATTGTAATACTATATCCGTGGTACCCTGCTTAATTTGCGTCATTACCCTACTTTTTTGAAAAAAAATCATTTTTTTTCGAATAGAAACACAGGCATGCAAGGAAAAGAAAGAGAAGTTTAGCCATTAATTGCTTATATGTAACACAATCCTTAAATCTTGAAAATTCTGTGCTTACTGCAATTTTGTGTGATAAAAATATTATTATTTGTCTAAAATAAATATTCAAAAATTTAAATAACAAATTTATTCATTATTTTCGAGTTGCATTTTTTTAAAGAATATCAAAATATATTATTAGTGCAGCGTGATGAATTTTCAAGTCTTTAGGAAGATACATTTCGCAATTATACGATAGATCTTAAGGCCAGATACCATCAAAATGAAATGACATATACATATCTCGTAGTCAATTCAGCGATAGAAAAGTATTATCCGTTAGAGAAGTTTATTTACACGGCCGCACCTCGCGTCAACACGCACATTGATAATTGAGACGAGAAATGATGTATCGTGAGAAGAAATTAAAGAGCAGAGACAAAGAACAAAGCGGAAAGATTGTTCGATATCATAAAATTGCACTCAAACTTTTTGTTTGCAGTTAAATAAGATCTTTAGATTTAAATTTTAAACAGCAAGTGTTATAAATTTAAATAAAAAATACTCTATGCCGAATCGTTGAGAGGAAATTCAATTTTGAGTGCAATTTTTTGTCTGCGTGTATCAGTGTAATTCAGGTGTCGTAAATGTGTCACGACTAGTATACAATTTGTTAATAGACATATAAACATCTGCAAAGACTTACCCTCTAGATCCCTTTCTATTCTGGAAGCCCTAATATTATTCAATAAAGCTCCATCTGTGAAAGAAAAGAAAGAGAGCATGTTTGAGCGCATGATATGTCTTGAAATCTAATGAGTATGCTTAATTTTTGCACGCAATCTTGACTGCATAAGGCCGCTTTGATGCGTTTGACAGAGGAAACAGTGGGTGGTGAAAGGAAATTTATTGAAGAATCATACACACATGATAGTAGAAGCTTTATTTGGTCATAGGCTCTTCGCGAAATAATTGCTATGCGTCATACGGATGTCGTCACATTCACTTCGTATTCGCAGAGATACCTTTTATATCGTAGTAATTTCTTTTGATATTTACACGGTATGAGGAATGATAATTGAAGTTTCAAGTATGACACTTGCAAGGTTTTTCCGCGGATCTCTCAAGAAACTTGATTGCATATTATTCGCAATTCAAGAAAATAATGAGAAAAAAATGAATGTAAAGAGAGAAGCAGGAAATAAGGAAGATGGATAGGCATACGCGTTTAGAAACGAGCGTATCTACCGATATGTGGAATGGACATGTAAAGGACGCCAGACGTCGGCGACACCAAAGATGTCGTTCGGAGGCCGCGACGTACAGTTATCTGACCGACTCCTCTTCTCGCGAGAAGTATTTCCACGTTGTTTTCTTCCCGCGTGCACGTGAACGTCTATACACTTGCGTGCGCACGTGACTTTAAGCGCACGATATATCTCGACGGACAATTTTGCGCACCTTTTCATTATAACGTTGTTGTAACCTAGTTAACTACGATAGAATTGATTTTTCTAGAAGAAAAGGTTAATTTATATACAAACTTTATATTAATTCTAACACTTTTCTAATTACTATATAGAAAAGTGTATTTTTATAAAATTGCTATACAATATATTTATATAATTCTTCGAGAATGATTTGTCGATCTGGTGCAAATTTTTTTTATTTTCTCGACGTCGATCGTCACCATTTTTGGTGCATCGGACTGCATCCAGTGACGTTGAACTGGGAGATTTTAGGTAATTATATCAAATTGCCACAGAATATTTATATAATTCTTCGAGAATGGTTTGTCGATCTGGTGCAAATTTTTTTATATTTTCTCGACGTCGATCGTCACCATTTTTGGTGCATCGGACTGCATCCAGTGACGTTGAACCGGCAGATTGACATCCGGTTTTTCGACGACGGGTTTATTTCTCGGTACCGGTGCATCGGCTGCAAGTGACGTTGAACCGGCAGATGACCGGAGCAGGTGACATCCGGTTATTCGACGACGGGTTTATTTCTCGGTACCGCGGCAATCGGGACCGATGTACCCGGCGGTTCGAGGTCATCCTCGTCCGGGCACATTGGGTCAGCTGGTCGACGCTTCTTCGCGTCGCCCTTCTTTCCCATGTCTGGCCTCCGGCCAACCGGGCCGTTTTGCGGCCCCCGACGATGAACCGGTCGCCTCGCGTTACCCAACAATCGACAACGATCGCAGTCCGCATCCCGGCATACGTGGGAGAGCGTTCGACATTGTACATCGCGTATAACACGATATTTTAATGCATGACTTGAATCGTATTATGAAATGCGCCGCGTCGCGATTACGCCAATCTCTCACTTCGTGCACACACATCATGCATATTAAATTTAAAGAGGATAGGTGTCGAGTAAATAGAACAAATCGATTTGTACTTGTAATATCAAATATTGCTATTTTATTCAACGCATTCAACTCGATCTTGTATATATTCTTCGGTAATATCTCAGATTCATTTAAAAAGATATGCATTTTTTATTGAATTTTTTTCTCGTACATTCGATATATATTTTTTAAGACAGTGTCGAAGAACATATATAAATATACAAGATCGAGTAAAATTGCGAAAACACTGCAGCTGGCGGTGTTTAATCGGCGAACCATTTCTCTTCCTCTCGAGTTGCATAATTCACGCATAATTCTCGCATAGTTTTCCGCGGCCGCACAATATCGTAATTCCAGCACCTCTGGTATTCGAAGGCGAATGCGAACAACCGCAAGGGAATAACTGATCGAGATATATATACACAGATGCACCTGACGATCGACTTCCACGTACGCAGCTGCATAATCGCGGTTGCATAGGCGACGGCTACCTTGAGCCCGTTTTCTCGCGCGATATGAGAGAGGAGAAATCCCTCGGGGATTAAGCTTGTTTCGTAAGAACAATTCGTCCATTCATGTCGTGCGGCTAGTGACTTGCTAATGCCCGAAACATTTTTTTTTTCGTCATCGGAATTACGATTGCTCGTGGCGAGATTCGTTTAACGGCGGCGACAAGCAGTATTGCATCAACGCGAGATTCCACGACGAATACATAGATCCAGTCCGCAATAAAAAAGGGCGCTGCGAATCCGTAAATGTGCTTAATCTCACCGCTTTCTACAAATTACATCTTCGTTTTTCAACGACGCGTGTCTTTATTCACGCGATTTCAACACAACTTGCATTAGTAATTTGAGGTTTATTTATCATTCGCGTTGATTATTCAATTTTTTTTAATTACGTCCAAGATAATGAATACTCTACTGTGCATTCGATGGATGTCCCTGTCAATCCTGACGATATGAGTGTCGCAAGTAATTAACTATCTTGCGAGAGCGACATGAATACCAAGGTAACCTGGTCATCGACTAACGCATGACACACGATTTCAATCTCACTTTCAATAGTAGGCGATATCATATAAATCCACGACTAGTTAGACTACAATAGTATGACGCTCGAACGTGTGATACACGACGAGAAAGCTCTTGGAGAGAACCTCTTGAAACATTTCAAATAGACGAGTTTATAATTGGGATTAAATCAGATAAGTAATTGGTCCCTATATTGGGCTTACTTATTAAAATCGAATTTTTCATATCTTTCGAAATCATGTTCCGCATGTTCAGAATGCTTACGTCAAACATGACGAATCGAGTTAACACCGTCGCGTTGTTACGGTTTCCGGTGAAAGCTCCTTCCTTCTCAAAAAAAAAGAAAATAAAAAAAAATAATGTGCAACGAGGAAGTAAACCTTCTGCGCAATTTGTTGAAATCTGATTCTACCGTGGCAGCTATGAATTAATTTCTCACGTTGCATCGAGTTAACTGGCCGTGTAATAGTCAATGCGGCCACTCGAGAATGCGCGTTTACTCTGAGTGGAGTCGCGCGTGGATACGTGTGGTAAACCAAGAATAATGATGATTACTCTCACTTGCTCAATGATTTCTTGCAACCGAGCGGCAATAACTGTGACGTTTCGATATCTTTGTCTGTCTTCTGCGATTTCAGGCAGTATCTCGCGAAATATTTGATGTGTTCGCGATGAGAGGTTTGTTTCTTTCTTGATGGGAATACTTGAGTGATTAAATTTACTTTCCAACGTATATTATTATATATGATATTTTCACAAAACTCTCGCGTGTTCCAACTGATTCTCAACTTTACGCTATTGTTTTATATTAATTGCGAATGTATCGATTTTTCACGCTAGTTTTGCGAACAACACGAAGCCTCGTGAGCTTCAGGCGCATGAAACGAGTTTGAGAGAGAAAGCGTTCAATCGTGGGAACCGGTAACAGTGGTACGAACCGAGCTACAGTCTCGGATATATAAATTGTTTAAAATATCAGTTTGGCCACACGCTAACAATCAGCTTCACACGTACATATTTGAGGCTGCGTATACGTTAAGAATTATATATGTTCAAATGTTTCGTTTAACAGACGTCAATATTCCTTGTCAGAATAATACTTGTAATTTTTGACGTTTACATGATCAGAATACTTGGCACAAGTTAGAAACAATTTTCTAAAATTGATTCCGGAATTCCAGCTGCCATTTAGATAGAGATATTACTCGTGGTAACCTCTCTGCCATGCATAACATCATGTTCACTCACCATTCATGCGACAAGTCTACAGTGAGATCCGAGGAATCCAATATCCACCAAGTAGCTTTGTCCAGTTAACCGAGCGGAAAATGACAAATTGCTTCCGCAATATCCGACAACCTTCTTGCTCTTTGATGTCGTATATAAATCTATTTTGACCCTATTAATTTCAGTCGCATTATCGTACGAGAGCGAAAAAAGTGAACCGACTTGCGTGGAAAGAAATATGTTAATGTGTTATATTTATATATGTGATGCTTGAATTATAATCTTATTTCTACTTAAAGAGAATTGTCGTCTAAAATGTCGTCTGGATTTTCATGTGGCCACTTTATGTCTTTTCCTGTTCCGCATTTTTTTAATTCTGCGATTACGAACTCGTTTAATTAATTACGATAAAGAGAAACGGATTCGCGATCGTTTTATCGTCCCGCCATCGCAAAAAAGAAGAGACGAAGGCAAAAGGCGGTGGCGACTGCCAGTAACGGTATTGCTCGCTACTCTACTTTGTGTTTGCTTCACTGAAGCCGATAAAATTCTTCTTTATGTTCTCAAGAGATCCAATACCAGTGTAACGGATCGGAATTACTCGTTGATTTTATAGTTTAATTAATTGGTTTATTAAATATACCTAGTTATAGTTTATTAAATTTAATATCAAGAAAAAATTCTAATTAATAAGAATTATCTTGAATTATAATTTGTCGCATGTATCGCTCTTCAGATTTTTATTTCTCGTTCTTATTATTCTTGGAGTTCATTCAATGGAACTACTTATCCCGTTTATCCGGTGGCATTTGAAATTACACGGCCGTTGAAATTACATGGTTGCTAATTCAAACTAGTAATTCTGTAACTCGTCGCGGGCAATCGCAAATACTGTACATATATTTAAGAAAAGGTCGCCGTTAAACAGTCGACTTTAAAAGGTAAAAAGGCAACGCTTGATCGATTGCTTTCGATACGCTGCAATACATTCTGACAAAAAATGAGAGAACGAGAAGGAGAGAACACTGTCATTTTCCTGTCTTTAAGTCTAGTAATTGATTTGTTAATTTATTGTCTAGTAATTTTCACGTAAAATTAACGGCATTTAGACGGTATTTACGCGTATGCGATCTACTTCTGCGAAAATCAAATTGAATTTTAATCGGTCAAGGATCGAAAGAGGCCATAAGCTGGAACATGTAGATGTTATGTGCTATACCTTCTATAACACGCCTGCTGCCACGTGAGTTGGCAGGACGCACGTGACCGACAGCGTGTCCGAGAGAATGGCCGGACAAACGGATATACGGTTTCTGCTATTACAAGGACCACCTTTTACATCATTGTACACAGTGCATGATAGTTTGCGTCATGCCAGCGTACGAGATATCGACGATGAAGTAGCAAAACGGACGCTGCGTGCTCAAAACACACATTTAAATTTGAAAGAATATTCTGGACATACTTCTAAGAATCATGCTAGTAAGAGCAAACATGAGAAATACCAATAAAGAGCCAAGAGGGAAAAAAATTATGATAAATAATAATAATATTTCAATTATTTCTTTATTTTATTTTATACATCGCTCTACGTTTAAAAGGTGAAACTACAATTAGAAGATATATATGTGTGAATCATTATAACTGTATACTTATAATATCATCTAGCATCATCATGTAACTGTAATTTTATACAATAAGTCGGAATTCGATGAATCATCATAAATGTCTTTTGAATAATATTGTAAAGCAAGTATGAACTAGGTTCTCTCTATAAAATACTTTCTCATCATTTTGTTCTGATTGTTCTCTTTCTTTCATTATTTTATTAGATTTATTTTTAAATATCATGTGTGATATTACATGTGAAATAAAAAAAATAATCTTATTACATTATTTTAGTTATTTGAAGGAGCATTATTTTTTATTTTTATTATTTAAATAAATAATATTTGATCGCAACAATTTAAGTATATTTTATATTTTTTAGAGTATATATAATAACTTCAACGCATTGTTGATACTTTCAGTTAAATTAATGACTTGGTCAGGGATACAAATTTTACGAATATAAAAGTAATTCGCTATCGCGACTAACAAATATTTATACACGTAACTCAAATAGTGCTACATAATGTTGTATAAAATTCAAATAACATTTATTATTAAATTCGGATTTATTTCACTTTAGAAAGATTTATATTTCTTTATATTAAAATCCTTATAACACAAAGATTTTGTCAATTGTTTCGAAAAGTGGAACTTATAAATTACAATGCTTGTAAGATTTCACAAAATTTCGAAATTTAACAAGAATGACAAGTTTTTATAAGATATTGCATTAAACGGACTTGTTTTCAAAGGCGAAGAAAGTTAGCGTAGTGATGAAATGGAATAAATTTGCGGGAAAAGCTGACACAACTGAGCTCGTGCTTCGAATCACGCTAAGTACTATCATTAATCTGCTATTCGATAAATACAGCACGTACAACGTAAACTTGTCC